CAGTGCACTGTTCACAAATGTAACGTGCCATTGCTAATAAGGGCATGGCACTATCAAACCTGTGGAGGGAAACTGTGCTGCTCCTGCACAGCACCCAGCAATGTGGTGTGATACTGCTGGTCTGGATATCAACAGCAATACAGACTCAAAAGTGCCTGCCTAAAGACCAGGAAGATGACAGCGCATCACTGTATTATCCCTCACATTTAACACATGAACTTCCTCTTCCTAAAAAGCAGGGACTAGGAGGAGGACAGACGCAGGGGTTGTTTGATGCCTTTTTAAAATTTAAGTTCATACTTTGGAGCTGGCAATGCCACCAGGGAAAGCTGCTAATTAAGCAAGTGGATTTTTCATAGCCCAGATCTTCATCACTATTTATGTGTTTAATTTCTTACTGCCAAAGAAATAGGATGTTGAACCATTGACTTCAAAAGGAGGATTTGTGGGAGCAGCAGGACCTTTATTCTATGTAGATTTCTAACTAACACTTATTTAATTGAGAAACTGTGCATTTCTAACTCACTTTCCCATTACATGTTCTTGGCTTGGATATTCCTCAAAGTTTTCTTGCTCTTTCCTCAACTCCATTTAACATTGGGTTAAAAAAAAAAAAGAAAAAGAAAGGGAACCCAAAGCAAAGAGGACAACCACAGCTGTGGTCCTCATTAGAGACAAGATAAACACCGACTGCTGTCTGGAAAGCTGAGTATCTTCAGGAGCAGGGAAGTAAGGTGTGGGAACAATTTGCAAGATACCAACATGTTGTCTCTTGGATTGCAGCCTAGAACTGATCTGTTGGCCAACAGTCACTCAGCTTGAGCCCCCGGAACAACACCCTGCTGCTGTGCTGCAGCAGGACATGTAATGGTGTCAAAGGCTCAGTGGAAACGCTGTGAGGGTGCAAACACCACTGGAAGCCCTGCATTGACCAGGCTTTTGCAGGAACAGCTCTTCCAGCACCTCTCTCAAACAAGGGCAAGTGTCAAGGACACTCTGGATGTGTGAAAAGCATGTTGTGAATGAACCAGTACTGATAAAAATAAGAAATATTTTCTTTTTAGAGGTACATGGTATAAAGGTCTATGAAGGGTTGTCCATGAAGGGATCAACCCCCCTCCCCTATTTTATTTCCCCTAGGATTTCTTGATGCTTTGGTTTTCTGGAAGAAGGGAACCAGTCTTTCCTTAGAAGTCCAAGCTGCGGATACAGGCTAGAGATGCAAGAGAATCAGCTGGCACAGCACAGCAGCTAAGGGTATATCTCTTATAATTTACTGGAGCTCACCCTCCTGACCTTTCTGTATTTGGATCAGCAGGGAGGGTGCTTAATGAGGGCTGCAGGAGGGCAATCGGGTTCTTACTGCTGGTCAGGCGAATGAATGCGAATTGCTTGGCAGTTCACCAAAAGCAGACCAACGAGGGCACTTCATCAGAAGAAAAAAGAAAAAAAAAATCTTGAAGGTGGCCAGTCCATGAGTTGAATTTGTCAGATTTCTAACCCACTGTAGAGGAGAACAATAGCTCGGTGTTTCAGAGAGACACCACAGCTGCGGGCAAGTTGTGTTTGTCTGACACATTTCAGAAACCCTTCTGCTCCTCCACCCTCCGCAGCTTCTCTCTTCGCCTTCCCTACATGTTTTTTTTCCCAGTGTCATTGTGTACAGGGGGAGCAGAGAAATAGAAAAGGTACCACCTAGCAAGGTAGTCTGCCTCTCCTTAGCCTTCTAGACCATACTCATCACCAGGCATTGCAGAGGCAAGGGCTTTTGTAAAGACAACTCCTAGGTGCCAGCTGCTTTGAAAAACCTTCCAGTCCACACCACCTCCAATCCATGCAAATGGCAGAAAATTAGTTTATCCACTCAGCCCTCATGTTGAAACTCCCCTCTCACCTGATTCTTTAATTTCTCTGTTTTGTAGAACCTGCAAAAGCCAGAAGTCACCTGTAAAATGCTGATATTGATATTCTTGTTCCAACGGCTATGGCAGTGCACGTGCTCTCCCTTCCTAATGCTCTCCATATGCTCTTCAGAGTAAAATGCCTTTTCCAGCTGGTCATAGTTACTGGCTACTGGCATCCATCTGAAGTGATCCAGCAACATTTCCCTGCCCTCTCTATGGCCTGGATCAGGGCAATGGCAAGCATCAGAGTTGCTGTGTTCCAGAAGGAGTTGGAAACGGAACTGCATCCCCTCAGGATACAGGAAACTCTTTTCCCTCTGGTTTCTCTTCTGTAAACCATCTTTGCCCAGCAGACAGCTCCTTGACCCTCCCCCTTCTTTCCCAAGAAGGTACTTGCTCCCCTTTTGTGGCCATGCTTTGGGGCATGGATGCTCATGGGTACTTGAAACAAGTAGGAAGAAAAATCATGTGTGTGATTTCAGTTTTCACTATTCCAGAGAAGCCCAGGCATTGTACAGCACTGTTGGCCATCTCCTCATCTCATAAAAGAAGCAGCATGTGCTTCTGATTTTGACTTGCAGAGAGGCTTAAGGGTGTTGTGAGCATTGCACCTGCCTCACATCCACATATCCATCCCTCAGCCCCTGGCATCAGCACAATGGTCAGGGCCAGTGAGCCTGGCTTGCTCTGCAAGCAGCACTTCTGCATTGCCAAAATCACTAGTCTTTACCAGACTGTTGTTATAATCTGCTTTTGGGGTATGGGTGTTATAGCAAAGAGACTCATCACACGTAAATAAACACATAATCACATCTGTCTGATTTGAATGGCTGCACCCTCAAACGTGACAAAGGATTTTGCAGTGCATGCTGCAATAAGATATTTAAAATCTCATTTGAAACCTGTCAGCTGCCCTACTCCACAGAAGGGAGCTAATGAATACCACATACTTCAAAGTGATGTTTTAAGGACTAAAAAGTTGTTCATGTGAGGCTTTGAAAATGCACATAAATTGTAAGAGTTAACACTGAGTCCCCATTTATTTGAAACTGTGCCTGTTTGCAACGCAGCCTTGACCTCCCCTTGCTGCTATGGGCCAGGGCGCTGCAGACAGGAGGACATGGCTGTCTGTCTGCCCTCCTTGGGAGGCCCCAAACACAATGGCCCCAACAGCGACAGGAAAGGCCAAGGCTTCACTCCCACCACCATGTCCTCACAATGCCAGCATGGGGAGAATGGAAAACAAAGCCAGATCTCCAGGCAGCACAAAGAGACAGTGGGATTGGGATTGACCTTGGTGGCTGAGCCCTGTGGCAGGGGAGATATCTGCCCAAATGGTGGCTCCCTGCCCACTGGTTGCAGGCAAGCTGTAAATGTCACATATTAGGAGAAAAGATTTTTCCATGTCCTATTTTTATGCTGACTACTTAAATGTATTTGGAAAGGAAAACACCAAATAGCCAACAATGAGAGAACATTAAAGCTGAGAAGTCCTGCACAGGACTCACAGCTGTGCCAGCACCTGGAACTCCGACAGCCTGCGGTAACATTTGGTTTTCTGCAGGACTCCTGGCTCCTTCAGGAGTGGCAAGAGCTTTAGGACTTCCTTTCCAGCTATTCAGGACTCACTGCTCCAGCCCCAGGCTGCCTACAGAGCCACAGGTCTTCCACAGGTATCCCACACAGCGAGTGTTTTGCAGGTATTACTGCACTTACCTCCCCAGAGTTATGCCGTAGGTAGGAGACTGATGTTGCCTCATTTTGCCTTGGAGAAGAGACATGTGCCAGGACCAGGATAAGTACCTACAAGAGCACACCCAGATTCTGAGATCTGAGGCACCTAGACCTACAGGTTTTGGAACACTGGCAATTTTTACCACGTTTTGCACATTCAGAGCACAGCTCTAAGTGTAATGAGGAGTGTTCAGCACTTGCCACTCTAAGAGCACCCCAGGAATGAGGGCATTATCCAACATATCTGTGCAGAATAAATGAAAACTCTTTTGTTGGAAAAAACAGCAAGCACTGCCATCCCACCATGCAGAAAGGAGCTGAGCTACAGTTGCACAAGCAGTCATGTTGTTGCCATTTCCTGATACCTCAGTGCTCTGCTGCAATGTCGGTGGAGGATTTTCTCTGCTGCCCCCACACCCACACCTGTGACAAGCCAGCGGCGGCAGACAGTGCCCGTGGGGCTGAGCACAGCAGCGTGGCTGCTCGGAGTGTGCCCTAGGTCAGCCGGAGGCAGCGGGAATGTGTCCTTGCCGCAGGTTTGCTGGTGCTGCTATGCTCAGCCACATTCCCTCTGCAGCTTGGAATCGTTATTGCCACCATGCTGTAACCGAGCCAGCCTCAGGGTCACTGAGGTTGGAAAAGACCTCTGGTGACCTCACCATTACATCGAATGATTTATGCACCAACTGATACATAGGATGGGAGTGTTCGATGTGTGACACCGACGCAGTCAGCTGGGCTTTTGGTGCCTGCCATGGGAATGCACTGGAACACCACTCAGGAGACTAGAAACAGCCACTGGGCTGTTTCAGAGGCCAGTGTTTTCTTTGCCCGTGCAAACTTTTACGCCCACTGCCACGTATGGGCTCTGTGCTTCCTGTTCATCTCTATGAATTCCTGGGCTTTCTGCTGGAAACCCACACAGGCCTGTGAGGATTTGTTTTCCTTTGCAGCACAGTGTACACCAATGCAAATCTAAGGCCCTTCATAAATGCAGATCACCTCTGCTCTCTCCTATGCATTGGCTGGACATATAGATAATCCATTGGGCTAAGCTTGGAAGAGTAATGCGAACCTCATTAAACCCACATATCCACGGTATCAGAGCACCGGGCCAGGAGGAACCTCTGTAAAGTTTTCCGATGTCACGGGGTGATTCTGCCTGTATTTGGACAGCAAAACAGCCCACTCGTGGGTGGCTCCCAGAGAACCCAGTGCAGGGGCTACCCGTGTGCCCAGCACAATGGGCGCTGCCGAGATTCCGGCCCAATCCCAGGGAAAAGGGATGGGAAGCGGCGAGGCGAGGCACGGTCTCGCCGACAGCGCCTTCATGCGTGGGGCTTTCCTTTATTATTACGGCGGCGGCGGCGGCGGCGGGGTCGGCGATGGCTTTCGAGGCGCTGGCGGAGGCGGCGGAGCGATGGTGCGCCCGCACGCCCTTCCAGCTCATCGCCGCCGAGGAGACGGAGCGGCGCATGGACTTCTACGCCGAGCCCGGCGTCTCCTTCTACGTGCTCTGCCCGGAGGCCGCCTGCGGCGACAATTTCGTGAGTGCCCCGTGAGGGGATCGGGGGTCACGGGCGTGCGGGGCACCCCCCGCGCCTGTGCCTGGATGCGCGGGGAGCCCTCGCGCCGCTCCGGGACGCTCCGTCCGTGCGGATCCCCGGAGCCCGGCGGGAGCAGCCGAAGGGGAGCGCCGGGGGGGACGGAGGACGGGGCCGTGCCCGGGAGGGAGGGATGCGGTGATGGAGGGCGGTGGGGCCGGGGGGATCCTCCCACAATCTGCAAAATGGAGTCCGCTGCCGGTGGGGGCGGCCCCGCGGGCAGGGACACCCCACCCTCCCCCCTTCCCCATCACCCGGCCCGCGGTGGCTGCGGGATCCGGGCGGGCGGGGGGAGCGGTGCGGGCCCCCCAGCCTGCCCCGCGCCCCGCGGGGGTTGCAGCTGCCGCTTTCCCCCGCGGCCCCTCCATCCTGCCGGGGTGCCGGGGCTGGGGCACGGCGCGGGGACGGGAGGACTGGCAGGGCTGTCACGGCAAATGGAGAATGGGCAGGAATAAAATGGAGTCAGGATGACAGGAGGGCCGCGCCCCCCCCGCCGCTCCCCGGGCCCGCCGCGGGATCCGTGCAGGTGCCGGCCGGGCGCCCCCGCCCCGCCGCCCCTCGCGGAGTTCGGCGCCGAGTTTGTGCGGAAAAGGCTCCGGCACCACCACCTCTGTCTTTGGGAAGGGTCGGGGGGTGCTTTTCCCCTCGGCCAAACCCTCCCGGTGGTGAGCAGAAGTGCAGGAAGAGTCACGGAAAAGCGGCACCTCGCCACGGGGTTTGTAAGCTGCCAAGAGCCAGTTAACTTCAAAGAAAGCATTTTGGTTTGCTTATTTTAACAAAACAGCTCCTAGCACCATTATTGTAGGAATGTTGTAGGTTCTTCCATTCACGAAGCAAGTTTCATCCTCAACTTGCTTGACAAATGTTCGCTAATTCCCTTTCCCACAGGTAAGTGCAGAGTGAGCCCATTTGACAGATGGGTCCGTGGAAACAAAGAGCAGTGGAGTGACTTCTCCAGGACCACAGATCCCAGCGAGCAGGACATTTATTTATTTATTGTGTCGAGTAGATGGTCATGCTGAATTATGAAAGAAGATGTCTGGTGTTTAGTTATGCATCTGTCGAGGGACTCTTGAGACCTTCAGATGTAGCAGTGGGGTATCTCAGGATGTGGATTCTCTCAGTCCTCTGTGGGAATAGCTCTGCACATGTGTCTTCTCAGCACCTCTGAGCCTGTCAGACCCCAGTGCTCATTGCTCTCTGGAGATGCCTGTACCCAGAAAGGGCCAAGCCTGCTGCACTCCTAAACAGGAATACGTATGAATCCAGTGCAGCGCTAGGCTAAAACTGAGGTTGGACATTAATGATATTGGAAATTGCAAAGAAAGTCCATTTATTTTTCTTAGGCACGTGCTGTTTCTTTATACGCTGCTCAAAAATTGAGTTAACTCTTTCATACAAAGTCTAGTCAACTGCAGAAAGAATCTTAGGCAGCTTCAGACCCTATTCCAATGCTGGCCTTTTTTTTTTTTTTTTTAATTTCCCCTCTCCCCCAAGTTGCCAGGAGGCGTCAATTGTGCGCGGCGAATTCCAGCGGGGCCGGTGCCGGGAGCCGCGCGCGGGTCGCGAGGCGCGGCGCGGGGGGCGGGAGGGTTTTTTAATTTGAAATCACATTTTCCCTGTGTTTTGTTTTGGTTTTTTTTTGAAAGTATTTTCATTCCAGGGTTGGTGTGGGAAGAACTCCCTGCCCAGAGTCACCACTAGTAAAATGGAGCAAGGGGCCAACTCCTGTCAAATCTGGAACATGAGCAGTGGAAAACTAGAAGTGATGTTTTCTTCTGTCTTTTCTAGCCTTATTAGTTGAGGCACTTTTTGTAATGCTAATACTTTTAAGACAGGCAGATAGGTGTCATTCTTAATTCTTTTTCTTTAAAGAGATGGTGTTTCTTTAATATGATTAAAACCCACTAATGATTCTGCAGCATCCTGTTTCCTTCTCCTAGTGCACTGTGGGACTTAATTTGTGCTCCCAGCTTGATTATCTTGGTTTTTTGCAGTCACTTTCCTTTTTTTTTAATGTTCCAGATTATAACTTTGCTTTTTGTGTGCAATTACAGGCTAAAGTGTATTTTAAGGAGACTTAATACAAGCCAAGGGACTGATTATCATTTGTACTTTAAAGCCTTGTTGCATGGCTCCTTTAACACAGTGTGGAGTGTGAAAGTGAGTAAATATAAACAGAATTCACAGTGACACCCTTCACAGCCTTCTTTCACCCTGTGCCTCTTATAGAGGAGCCTCACATTTAATAAGCATCTGATGCCTGGTATTCTTGTTCTTTCTTTACGTCGTCATTTCATAATGATGCAACTTAAAAAGCTATGTAGGAGGTGCCAGAGAATTCCATGATAACCCACTTGTAAAGAGGAAATGATGAGCATGATGAACTTAAAAGGAAAGAGGAGAGGAGAAAAACTTGGAAAGGTTGCCAAGATGCAATCTGGGGGAGAAAACCACTGAATTTTGTCTAACATCAGAGATCCCAGATCATAACAATCTGATACTTTTCATTTCCTGAAAAGATATCTTTAGGCTAGGCTTTTAACATGCTAGAGACGTAGGAGAACCATGTAGATGCTTATTGGCATTTTCAGTACCACCTGGACATTGAAACTCCAAATCAGCGTTTTAGATAGCTGAACAAAGTACTGTTCGCATCCTGATGACCCTGAGGTTCTTGAGAAATTAATTGGACTTGTATAGCCATAATCAAGGAGAGTGAGGGTTGTGATGCTATTCCTTACAGTCTGTCATTTGTTTTGTCACCATGTTATTACTGGTATTCAAAGTAACTGATAAAATAAATAAAAATATGATGCCATCTTGCTGCAAGATTTCCTGAAAATATTTCAGAACAGAGTCAGTGGGTCTGAGTGTTTTATGCAAGTCAAATTATCCCCATAAATAAAAAGTTTTGCTGTCATGCACAGCAAATGGGCTGCTTAGAAAAAGGTGGGCCAGCAAGTGATTCTGCCATCCAGCTACACTGAGTCATTTAAAGGTGTGAGGGAAAGCAAACCCCTCCAGATGCAACCCTATTGATTTCCTCAGCTATGTGCTATGTGCAGATGCTAAACTAAATAATTCAACCGTGATCTTAGGTTGGCTGAGGTAGAAATTAGTGGCTGTGTGCTTTTGTAGTGACACAAAGCAACTGTGAGCAGAACTGGGCAAGCTTGGAAAACACATACTTTGATAATGAGGTTAATATTTTTTTAATTGCATAGCCAGAGCCAAGCACTGTGGTCCACCAGTTTGCCAGCACCCACCTTCTCCCACTGCAGAGAGATCCTCAGGCATCGGGTTTTCCAGGAAAAGCATCTCCATGTATGCAGTCTTACTGAACTTTCTGAGCAGGAGCTGAATCCTGAAATTACGTTTGTTTTTATTTTGAAAGGCCGAAATTCCTTTTGCAGGTTCCTCTGGAGATGGGTGAATCAGTGCTGAGAGAGTTCCTGCCTGGGTGCAGCACTGAAGCACCACAGAGACTGTAGATGCAGCTGAACCTACAGGCATTACAACTCTGGTCTTTATTATGGTTGAGGTTTTTGAGGGAGAAGATTAAATCAACCCATTGCTGAATGAGATGTGTGCACTAATGGCACATGAAACTTTTTGTAATGCGTTTGTTGCTGCAGTTAACATTTTAAATCCTCTGCAGATGGGGAGATTTTTGGAATTGTTACTTGCTAATTGTCCTATGATGCTATGCAAAAAAATCTCCTCAAAAATTCAGTGATCAGGTTATTCTCTTAGGTTTTCCTCTTGTGTTAGGTCATCTTCCTCTGCCTACTGCTGATGAATTCACACTGGTGTCTAAAATGTGCTGCAGCTTGAAAAGAGATTGTAAAAACACGATAGGACAACATGGGGTTAACTTGCCCTGGGGAACGAACCAGCAATGATTTATTAAAGGGCAGAGCCTGATTTTCATTTATGTGGAAGCTTCTGTGTATAGCTCTGGTAGTCAAAAGAAGCCACAATTTAAACAAGAATGAGGATCTCAGCAGTCATAATTGTTTTATATATATAAACAATTGCAACAGGTTTGGCACAAGCCAGGAATTGCCAAGCTGCAACATTCAGCTCTGAAGTTTAGGAGTAGCTAAACAGTTATTGCTAACCCCAAGTATGAAGAAATCATGGGCCTGACCTCCAAAACCTTCTCCAAAGGCTGTTTTTAAAATGTGATTTGGAAGTGTCCATTTGATATTTTGAAGAGGGCTCATTTTAGTTCACTTCATGTACGTTCTGCCTTTTTAGGCCATAGGAATCACAAAGTGCAGGCTTTTTTCCTACTTTTTTTTTTTTTTTTTTTTTTTTTTGTAAACAGAAGCTGAGGTTTAGTTGTATATTTATAGGATTACAAGGCCCATGACTCTTAAGATGGCATGAAGCATCATGAGACTTGTGGTATGTGTGTTTGAGAGTTGGCAAGACTGTAAAGAACTTATTTTTATTGCCAGAATGGTTAAGACATGACTCTGGTTATATGGAAAGAGCAGAACCTAGTCAGTAATGCAGGGCTCTTTTCATAACAAAACATTTCACTATGTTTATGCTTGTAAAGTGCAACAAGCAGCAAAGAAAATGTAGGTCAAGTGAGGTTCATAGCAAAGCAGTTACAGGTTTCATCTTAAAGGTGCAGTTTAGGTGATGTTAAGTACTGTTTTCTTTTGTTAAGTGCAAAACTGCATCCCTGGCAGGTACTCACTGCTGAAGAGGAAGGCAATATGCAAGTCTTATGCTAGGGGTTGAAACATCTGTCGTTTTGAGTCTTTGCCTGAATGTTAGTTAAGCTTTGGAGAGATCCTCCTCTTTCCTTGTTTAAGCATAATCTGCTGTTTGTAGCAAGTAAAAAGACACTTTGGGGAAAAGAGCTGCTGTGCAAAAAGAGAGATACAAGTGTCTCAAACCAATTTGGTAGTATTGCACTTCTCTGTGTGGCAGGCTGCCTAAGACTGTCCCATGCACCAAGTTTTCAAACAGAAGGCGTTTAAGATGATGCATTAGCTTGTGCCCTTGGGCACAGAAAGCATTGTCTGGGTGCTCCCTCCATCCTTGCCAGCTCTGTTTCAAACAACCTCCTAGCAGCAGAATAAACATTAGTTTTGGGATAGGCTTTGAGTGTAAGGCTGGGGAACCAGCACCTCCTGAGCAGGAGTAAGACAGGAGGGTCTCAAGTGGGTTTAAATGTGCCTGCCTGGGAGGAGAAGATTGTGTTCCAGGAGGAGTAAATCTCAAAACAGGGTGGGAGGCTCAAAGTGTCAGGATGCTGTGAGTGCCCAAACATCTCTCCTTGGCTCTGTGTCTAGCCTGCAGGCAGTTTTTGCATCTTTTCTTCTGCATCGTCGAGAGAATTACACATCAAATTCCACCTCCAGGGTCGCATCATATTTGCACTAATGCCAGAAGACAAAGAGATGCTTTAGCTCTTCCTGAGGGCTTCACTGCAGCAGATGATGCAGAAAAAGAGAAAACCCAGCATGACTTCCAGGTCTGAGCAGGGCTGATGTTGAACAAAAGCACCTTTATAGGTAAAACGTGTGCACGCCAAATGCGTGTACACTTCATGGCTGGTGCAACCATGAGGCATTTCTGGATCAATTTCCCTGTTTTCTGATGCATCATGTTAATAAAATCCAGGTTCCTCCTGAGAAACGTGGCTTCTGAAAGAGCCTGCAATGCCTGTCCCCAGGGCGGGTCTGAACTGCAGGAGGCTCGGTGTATTTTGGCAGATGTTTACAACATGTCACCTTATAAAATCACATGGAAAGGTTGGCGTGAATTCCTGTTAATGCCTTTCCTTTCTTGTGTTGCTGTTGGCTTTCAGCATGTGTGGAGCGAAAGTGAGGACTGCTTACCTTTTCTGCAGCTCGCACAGGACTACATCTCCTCCTGTGGGAAAAAGACGCTCCATGAAATATTGGAAAAAGTCTTCAAATCCTTCAGACCTGTAAGTGCTTTTTTTCCCCTTCTAAACATTAACAGTTAGCTGTGACTTTTAATAGGACAGCACTGGGTAGAGCAAGCTGTTTTTTCTTCTCCAGAGATTTACATCTCCAGTTAGCTGCCTGGGTACAGGAGTGTTAGCACATAAGTTAGCATTGGGCAATTGAAAATTGTTTCTTGAAAGTCAGCTGCCTTTTTATTTCCAACTCTTGAGAGGATGAGATTCCCGTGCAGGATGGCAGGCCAACTGATGTGTCAGCTGGTGGCAGCAGGCAGGGGCTCGCGTCCTGCTGATGCAGCACTGACTCCAAGGAACGGGATACGAGTCAGCGCCGCGGGACTTTGTGGCAGAGTTGGTTCCTGGCACTGGAATTGGAGAGTTTTGCAAGGATATGAACAGCAAGAGTAAACCTCTGGGAAACTGGAAGTATGGTCTCTCCTCAGGGTGGTTTATTTTATTTTATGATTGGGGTTTTTTTCCCCCAAGTGATGCAGATTTTGCTATTAGGATCGTTGCCACTTGGTATTTGCACACACTGGTTTGGTCACTGCTTGAGAGGAAGTTAGAAGAGAAGCGGGGTTTTGTGGGGAGGGGACCTGTATTTTTCTGTTTTGCTGCTACTCAGCTTTCTCCGTCCATGTTTAATAATAAGATTTGTGCCAAAGCCAGGATTTCATCAGGATGAGATATCTTAAGCTGGCCGTTGCCCTTCATTTTTGCCAAATGCTCCTTTTGAATGTTTAGGGCTGGCTAATGGCTTGGTGCAGAGCTGGGGAAGGTTTGTAGCCAGAGCCGTTCTCCTGTCATGTCCATGAGAAAGTTCACCAATGCACGTTTTTATACTCAGCTTTCCCCTCCTGTCTTTTTCTGCCTGACTAACTGAGAAGACTAGAGATGTATCCCAAGTATTTAGTGCGAAAGGAAGGGCCTGGAGCACTGATAGGAAAACACTGGCCCTCCCTGTGTTACACCCTTGAACAGATCACCACAGCTGGTCGACATAAAAGAGCATCGTTTTAAAGAATCCTTTGAGAGGCTAGAAATAAATAGAACAGATGCACACTTTTCTTAGAAAGGGCTGGAAATCTGATCTGTCACTACAGCTGCTTGTAATTATGAGAACATGCAAAAAATATAAGTATGTTTTCTGGAACAATATTGGGCTCTAAGATCTTCATAGCTGTCTTCTCCTGCTCAGGGAAGCTGTGCCTTTGATGAGGAACTTCCATTGGTTTAACTAAGAAGGACTTAAGACTTAATTAAATTGGTGCAGGTTACTTATTTCATTTAAACCACATTTATTCCAGCATAAGCTACTGAGAAATTGACTTCAGTCAAGCCAAGTTGAGCTACTCTTTAGAATAAAAAGGTTGAAAGCCAGGGGAACCATTGTGCTCGTGTATCCTGAGCCCTTCATTAATACATCACATTTCACCTCATGATTCCCACAGCTGACCATATAAAATGAGGTTGAACTAGAATGTGTCTTTTCCAAAGACACCAACTCTTGATGTAGTCTTCAGGTGACTTAAAGGATACAACACTGCTGGGCACTTTTTCTTCTCATCCTAGTTACCGCTCTGAATAACTCTTTTGTTTACAATCTGCATTTTTCTAGTTTTGCTTTGTAGCTGTTGAATTTCATTTTGCTTTTGTTTGCACAAAAACGGTGTCCTCAGTTGTCAGAAACCTCTTTCAGACTGTAATCAAGTACCTCTTCATTTTCTTGTACCACAGATACTACGTTTCTCAGATTCTCCTTTCACCCAGTATTGAGAGATTTGCATCAGCATTAGGGTTTATCATTTGAGGTATGGCTGTGTGTAGACAGGTCTAATCAAGGAATGTATTTTTTCCTAGTAGTAACTATTAAAAATAGCACATACATGGAAAGATTTTAAAAATTGAATGGTGTTACAGTAGATGTATGGAAACCGTATTTTGCACCCTCGGGCCTTTCCCAAAACAAAACCACTTTTCTTTGAGATTGGGAAATTATTTCCTTGGCATCACTTCATACTGTCTCCTGTCCTTTCTGAAATGGACCCATTTTACTAATGAGACCACCTTGTTGTCAGCTTCAAGGCAACTGTGCATTTGCAGGGCATTTCTTCTCCTCTGTCACAGCAAATCAGCTGACATAGACCAGTCTGGTAAACTCCGGTGTGAAAAATGGCAGTTCAGGAAAAAACTGCAACTGAAGGTCAGACTGGGCTTTTCTGAAGTATCTGGTGGCTCTGGCTCTCAGTCTGGGACACAGTGGACCAGGTTTGTAGCAGGTTCTTGATAAGCACTGTAAAACACATTCTGAAAGTCTTCTCCGTTTTGGTATTCCCAGTAGACATGTGTGATTATTAGACAGTTCTGAAATTCTTTGTTGGGGTCCTTTGAAGGGAAATATTTAGAAAAAACAGTGGCAGTGCATCTGCAACTTTCCATGCCGTTTTGCACAGCATGAGCATCTGCCTTCCCATAACTGAGGGCTCCAAAAACAACTTTTTCTGGTAACTCAGCTCAGCCCTGCTCTGCATGTTTGTGATAACAGCCCAGCCATGTCTCCATGAGCTTGCCCTGGGGCTGTGGAGTGGGAAGGGACTGGCTTCTCGTGCTGCTGGGCCCTGTGTTTTGGAGACAGTGAGAATACGAATGCCCAGCAGCTGGCATCCCTCTCAGTGAGATACAGAGAATTCCCTCTTCTCACCAGTCTTCCCTGGGCACAGAAGGCAGTGAGGGTGGTCTAGGTCTGCTCACTGTCCCTCACTGCTCTCAGGCATCTCTCCCTAATGTTTTATGTGCCTAAACACAGTGCCAAGCAGGATATTTAATTAGATGAGGCTTTTAAAAAGTGCTGGTTTGCCTGCAACAACTATCCACACCTTTCAAGGTGTTTCTTTATTGAAGGTGGTGAGGGCCATGTTGTCTCTACCCATTACTGCTTTCTTGAGTCGGTTTCCACAAAACTTTGTTATTTGTCTTATTATCCACTTCTTCGGGGAGCATCCAGAAGCGCCAGACACCACAAAGGTACATGATATCAACCAATAGCACTGGGCTCACATACTGTTTTTTTGCCGCAGAGCATCCCATCTCCTCCTGTGTTTTGGTCTCTCTGGTGTCAGAGGTGCCATGCTCTGGTGCTAGGAGGTGCCCATGCTGGTGCTTTCAAGCGTATCTGCCCGGAGACATAGTCCTTCCCACAGGGATTCAACAGAACTGGGTTATCTCTAGTGTAGCATCACATGGACTGCTAAAGTTCAGTCTTGTACATGGTTTATTTTTCAGTGTGCTTGTGTGCCAGCTTTTGGTAGGGGACGGTGTCACTCTGCTTCCGTGAGTTAGTAACTGTGAGGCTATTTGTAAAATCAGGGCACTTTGGAAGGGTTAAGAAAGACAAATATAAGAAATGCGTGATGGACATCACACCAACTGGCAAAGTTTGCCGGAAACCAAGGCATGAGTCATACAATTCAGCAGCAGATTCCAAGGGTCCTACACTGAGCTCATCTTCAGCCTGGAAAGCCTACATGTGAAGTGGGGAGTCTGCAGTGTAAAAGCCACTTATTCCACATTCATTGTATTCATGTGTGTCCCGGTGACCTCTCCTTTACCTCCAGATGGGTAGTTTGGCCAACAGAAATAAATAGCTGTCATTCAGGCAATGCTGCTGGTTGTTATCCTCCCTTCTTCCCTCCTCACCATGCCCCTGACCTCCTCCTAGCCATGCACCCCTGCCTGACAGTTTTGGTTCCCCTTGGGTTTTCTGCTGATGAATCAGCTCTCTCTTTCTACAACAGTTTTCTGTTTTATGTCTTTTCTCCTTGTTTTCCTCTGCAGTTAAGTTCTTTCAAGTCTGCTACATAGCTGATACTTCAAAATAGCAGCTATGGACTAGAAGCAGAAACTAGTGTGTGGGAAAGAAGACACTCCTTGATTGGGAGTCAATCTAGGATCAGCCCAGGCCATCTTCATCATCTTACTTTGTCCTTACCTTTTGTATACCCTTCTTCTGTTTTGTCCCAGTGTTTGTAGAGCTTCCTGTGCTTTGGACCCTGATCCGTTGAAGGTGTGGGCTGATTTGTCACTCCAGTCCAGAGAGCAGTAAGGGGTTAACAGCAGTGAGGGACCACCATAATCCTGTGGGAAGCAACAGGATATGACACCTAAAAACAAGACCTGCATGGTCGAGGTCCTTGGTGACTTGAAGGGTCATAAAGTGTCTGTCAGAGAATAAAACTGCATCTCCCTTGGAGAAGAATACCATTCCATCCCATTCCATCCCACCCCACCCCCATTCTTCCTCTGTAAAACCACTAAAGTCTATAGCATCACTGATTTACACTTCTCCCTCTGATTTACACTGCTCAGGGGAAAGAGAAGCTGGATTTCCTGATGGTGAAGAGAGAGAGGATGTGTGAAAAGCAGGATGTACTCCCCATCCTTTGGGATTGTGCGTGTGTTTGGAGTTCTTGTGGTGCATGTTGTGTTTTCCATGCTAATTTTGCAGTACAGTATCCCGTAAAATGAAGATTCATGTGACTCATTTCCTTGCAAATCAAAGAGGAATTAAGACCAGAGGTGGGGAAAAAAAATGCAATCAAAACTCTTTCTGCCAGGTGATACAAACAGGAGTATAACACTCACATCTAATTTGAATATACCAGATTAGTTTATCAAAAATAATACTGGTATATAAGAAGGTCTAGAAACAGTCCTTGATTTTTCCTTTTGAAAACTGAGTATTTTAATTTTAGCTTCAACACGAAATAAAACCCCCGCATCCTGAAAATGAACTGAGCAGTTCATGTTCAGTTAAGCATTTGATTTGAAAAATATGCATGCAGAGGAAAAATTACTTTGTTCTGCTTGGAAAACAAAAACGTTTTCCATTTGGAGTCTCTCTGTAAGTATTTTTAAAATGCAAAGGAGGGGATTTAGTCAGCAAATTCTCCTTCCATTTCCCTGCTGAAGAAAGCCTGTAACTAAAAATCTGGTTTTCTCCCAGTGACAGTGAGGAATACAAGCTTCGTTGCACCCAGAAGCTAATTCTGTGCCTTGTATTTATGTCCACGGAATAATTTTGAATGTCGATCACAGACTGAATTAAAGTCCCCTGAAAATCTGCCTCATTGCAGCCTTCTCATTTCCATGCTCGCACCTAAAAAGTGTCACCCTCCTCACGACTTTTCTGGGCTTTGCGTCTTTCAAGAGCTAACAGCTGCATCACTCTCCAAAGAGGGTGTTACATGCATCTGTGCTGCTCTTCCAGCCCTGGCAAGCTAAATACATGGTATTCTCAGTAATGCTGGGCCTATGATTTTGCTTTGTGGCTGTTAATAGCTGTTAGTGGAGGAATCTGAGATTTCCACAAAAGATACGTTATTTTTGACTGTTATTTGGTTTATCTGTCTTCCTGACTTCTGTTGGCGTGGCAGCCTTTTTTGGGAGAGGGGAGAAGTTCAAGTATGGCTGTTTGCTCCTTTGCCTGTACTGAAGAGGTGACATTGCAGTGGTTGGAGCCATCAGGTGGAGGCATCCAAACACTGTCCAAGCAAGATGGACTGGCAGTTCCTTGCAAGCCCAAATCTAATTTGCAGAAGTTTAAAGGGACAGTATTTCAGTGGAATACACAGTAATTCTTACTGCAAGGGCTTCACACAGCAGGCAAGACTTTATTTGGTGTGATGGAGTGAAGGCTTCAAGAACAGCATTTGACATGGCAGGTTCTTTGGGTTTTTAGGGACTTCTTGTCTATTCCACGTTAGGCAGTCCTTCATGAGGATGTTTTCTCCTTTGCTTTTATAGGGCTGACGAAAAACAAACTTAAACCAAGACAACTACTGTACAGTATTATCATGGTTCTTTCTGAAGTTAAACCACTGCCAAGTCTAAACACTCAACAATTTATAATGTGACCTCAGGGAAGAATGTGAAGCTTTTTGGAAGTGCTTTGTTTTGGTTTTATTTATCTTCCGGTCTCTGAGCGCTTAATTTGGTGTGAGGATGCATTTTCAAATCTTTCTTTATCCCAGGAGGGAGAGAAAGAGAGTCAAGATCATTATGCAGTGCTGTTATTCCAGGGTTTGAGGTTTTTAAGAAGTGCACATAGGATTTGTGTGAAGATTTGCAGCAAAGCTGCACGAGTGGGTAATTTACTGTTACACAGTATTTTCTCTTCTTTGTAGTTACTTGGGCTTCCAGATGTTGATGATGATGCATTTGAAGAATATAACGCAGATGTGGAAGAAGAGGAGCCTGAAGCCGATCACCAACAGATGGGTGTCAGTCAGCAGTGATTTTCTGAGAAGCTATAAAAAAATTCGGAAGCCTTTGGTACCAGGTGGGGTCAGGTGGTCCCACATTAGCCTGTTTGAATTAGCACATCACAAGGGGATATCTGGCTGCCAAGATAAAAGTTTTACAAAACATGGTTTAAAAAAAAAATAATAATCCGTGATGAGCTTTGCTAAGAAGTGACCTGAATTTTGCTCCTGCTTCAGTGGGTTTTCTATGGAATTGTCTTGGTAGCATTCTGCCGTTATCAGTCTAGAGTAGTTTTGTCGCTGACTTGTCTCTTCGATTTGTGTTCGAGAGTAGTGTTTGCTGACATGAATGTAGAGTACTGAGAATGTAGGAGGCGTGTGGGGAGAGTGCCAAGTCCTCACCCGTGACCTTTCCAAGGAAACCAGCGCAGAGAGCAAACACCACCTGCGCTTTTCTTTTTAGTTCAACAGTTGTAGGTTTTTGACAAAGTACCAAACGTGGAGAAACTTCTCCTGAAAAACAGTAGTTTAGTAGTTGTTGGTGCTGCAGAAATGCATATGAAGGCCTAACAGAAATAGTGGGACATAGGAAGTCCAGGGGGTGTCAGACATATTGGTGTCATTTCACTGACACCTGAGTTTCCAAGTGCTGAATTAATACCTGGGAATAACTGGCACCAGCAGCACACATTATGACCAACCCTGGTACTTCGACATCATGTGATCCAAAGGCAAGTGCTGCTTTCTTACAAATCAAGTAAAAACTAGCTGTCAACTATCCCACTTCTGCATGACAACTAACTTTAAGCTTTGCTGGTTTTGTTACACTGCCAAATTATTACTCAAACCTCGTGGCATTGTGCATTAGAATCATGGAATCATAGAATATGCTGAGCTAGAAGAGACCCATCAGGATCCTTGAGTCCAACTCTTGGCCCTGTGCAGGGCACCCTAAGAGTGAAACCGTGTGCCTGAGAATGTTGTCCAAATGCTCCTTGAACTCTGCCAGGTTTGTGCTGTGACCACTTCTCTGGGGAGCCTGTTCAGGTGCCCAGCCACCCTCTGGGTGAGGAACCTTTCCTGACAACTAACCTAAACCTCCCCTGACAGCTTCAGGCCGTTCTATTGGGTCCTGTCACTGGTCATGAGAGTGAAGAAATGTGTAGCTGCCCCTCCTCTTCCTCTCCTGAGGATGCTGAAGACCACGATGAGGTCTCCCCACAGTGTCCTCCAGGCTGAACAAACCAAGTGACCTCAGCCATTTCTCACCAGGCTTCCCCTCCAGACCCTCCACCATCCTTGTTGCCCTCCTCTGGACACTCTCTAATAGTTAAATGTCTTCTTTACATTATGGCTCCCAAAACTGCCCCCAGCACTTGAGGTGAGGCTGCCCCAGTGCAGAGCAGAGCAGAGCAGGATAGTCCCTCCCTTGCCTGGCTGGTGATGCTGTCCCTGATGCCCCCCAGGGCACACTTTTTCCTCCTGGCTGCCAGGGCACTGATGACTCATTTTCAACTCGCCATCAACCAGGATCCCAGGTCCCTTTGTGCAGCACTGCTCTCCAGCCTCTCATTCCCTGGCCTTTACACACAACCAGGGCTGCCCTGTCCCAGGTACAGAAGCCTGCACTTGCCCCTGTTAAACTTCACACAGTTGCTGATTGCCCATCTCTAATTTGTCAGGGACTTTCTGCAGGGCCTCTCTGCCCTGAAGAGAGTTGACAGGTCCTCCCAATTTAGTGTCTTCAATAAACTTAGTTAGTATTCCTTCAAGTCCTGTATCCTGGTTGTTAATGAGACGTTGAAGAGCACAGGGCCAAGGATGGAGTCCTGTGGAACCCCACTGGTGACATATCACCAGATGCCACCCTATTCACTGTAACCCTTTGTGCCCATCCTGTGAACCAGTTACTGACCCATCTCATGACATGTTTATCCAGCTGTGTGCTGGATATTTTGGTCAGAAGGATACTTTTGATACACTATCAAAAGCTTTACTGAACTCCAAATACATGACATCAACTTGCTTCCCTTGATCAGCCAGGTGGATTACCGTGTGATAAAAGGAAGTCAGGTTTGACAAGCAGGACTTTGCCTTCATGAAGCCATGCTGGCTGTGACCAGTGATTGCACTGTACTCCAGGTGTTTTTATATACCTTCCAGAATAATATTTTCCATGATTTTACTGGGCACTGAAGTGAGACTGACAGGCCTGTAGTTTCTGGGATCTTCCTTGAGTGCAACTTGAATGCAACTTAACACTGAAGCCATAAGGGTGTCAACCAGCACGTGGCTCTTAAAATTATGCTGGACCTCTTCCTGGGCCTTTGAGAAAGTCTGGGCATGTACACCTTATTGAAGGGGAGCCAAAATACTGCTTCAGCTGATATAAAATCTAGTGAGGTTTTACTTATCAGGGGACTTGCTCACCAAGGGGTTTAGCAAGGGTCTTAGTATGAAGGAGAAGATGATCCCTCATACTTTTTACCTGTTCTACATAGTTCCAAGTAACTTGGATGAGTGCCAGACTGTGAAGATGCAGGGTCTCTTTATTTACTTGCCTTTTGTACCGAAAATATAAGAAGCAAAGGTAATTCTGTTGTAATACAGCTGTTTTCCACAATCAAGAACAATGTTTCTAAATTTACTCCTTTTTTTCCAATTTTTTAAAGATTGTAAAATGAAGGTCACACGCCTCAAAAGCCCTTTTATACAGAATTAGCTTTATTAAAAAAGTGAGTGAAGAGAAAATGCTTGGACAATTCCTATAAATAACTTTCATAATTTTGAAAATCCTGTTGTTAATGATGTTTCCTTTTCAATAGATTTTTTAAAGACTCTTTTTCCAGGGTTATTGAAGAGAGCAAGTTTTCTTGATGGTTTACATTTATGATGGTGGTTTGAGAGATGCATAGCACATGATTTTTTCTGTCAGTGGCAAAGATCTTCCATAACTGGGATGATGTGTGTTACCTGAGTCTGCACAGAAGTGTCTGCAACACTGTAAAAGTCAGAGTTTAAGACTATTTTAAAAAAAGTGGAAGAAAAACAGAGCTTAATGCAACTTTGTACATTCTTTCAGCATGCAGGCATAGACATGGTAGTTGCAGCACCTTTTCTATGGACTAGTGATGTGAGAACTGTGGCAGTTCACTGTATAACACTGTATAGCAGCAATAGGCTTTTTGCTTACTGAAATAAAGTGTAAGACCAGTGGTTTCCACCCCTGCTTTAAGCCCCTAAATTTTTCTTTCCTCTCCAGCTAGGACAGATGCTGCAGCCTTAAGCAGAGCCTTCCTTTGGAAGAACTCTCTTCATAGCATCCAGCCCTTGGGTTGTGACTCACACAAGCAGATCTTATGGGGCTGACTTTCCTCTGCTCTGCTGTAGTGCAAGGGAGCAATTTACAGTTGTGCAAGCTGGAGGCAAAGTCCTGCTGCTCAGGTTTGCTGGGCACTTCACCCATTTGTTTGATGAGCAGGTGGCTGGCACCAATGTGCAGGTGCAGGCACCCCACACACACCTGCACAGTGAGCTGGGCTGTGAGCCTGGCCTGACTGGGACACAACCCCTCTGCCTTTTACTGACAGGCAGGCTTCCAGCTGGATCTGTCCCACCACCTGGCTCAGCATGTGGCTGCACCGAGAGTGCTGGCACAGCAGAGGGGAGGGTGCAGGGTGGACAAGGGTAGTAGCTGAGGACCTGCTGCTAAAAGTGCCTTGCACGGTGTCAGGGGCCTGTGGTGGAGATGTGGACTGGCCTAAGTGCTGTGAGGGATTGACTCCACAAGGCTCAGTGGGATTTGGGCACTGGTAGCAGCAGGATAAGCAGGAATTAATAAAATGAGGAAAGACTAAGATCCAGTGCTTATAATTGCATGCAGGAGACTGTAATGTGTACTGCATTCTGCTACCTTTCCCTGCATATTGATTGAATAGTTAATGAGCGGTTGAGCATTAGTACAGTTGCAACCAAACAATGCTGTAAATTATGTAGATATGTTATTGTTATTTTCTGTATTCACTAACTCACTTTTTCTTTGGAATGTCATGTGCCATTGAGTGACTTCCACACAGACTGCAGGTGCTGGACAGCCAGCCCTTCTACAGCGCTCTCCCCTGCAAAAGTCCCACTAAAGGCAGAGAGATTTTGTTCAGGCAGGACCTGCAGGACCACGGGATGTGTGAGGCTTGGTCCTGCAGACAGCTGAGCGCTCTCATTCCTTCTCTCTTCGTTAGGGGCCGGACATGTTGAACCCTGCTCCTGAACTGAAGCATGACCAAGCAGCACTGAGAATAAACTGGAATTTTATACATAAAAAATTTAATTTACATGTAATAAATGTGAATGAGCATTAATATAGAATGTATTTTATCAAAAAATATTGATTCCTTACTTTGACCAAATACATTTCTGTATTACTGTGTTACTTTTCCGTACTTGCCAAATGATGCAAGAGGTGTGGAGCTGGTTTGGTTGTACTACAACATGTTTTTGTATTTCATTTGTATTTTATTTTTCCCTCCCTCCTACCACATATTGCAGTAAGTAGCCATTCAGTAATTAATCAGGGGTAGCATGACCCTGTGACTAGGCTGCCAGACTGAGACACAAGATTTGCCAACACGTGCATAAATGCTTGAAAACCTGGGTACTCAGTGAGATGTGGGTTTGTAGCTCTGCCATTGCCTTGCCCTGAGCTTTAGGTGGGTCTCAGACTCTGAAAATTCAGTGCAGGCCTCCAGTTATGCATACAGGCCTCCGAAAAATTTAGCAGGAGCAGGGTAACTCCTTTAAAAGTCCCACCTTAAGCCTTTTCTAAAAGGACTGTTAGTATGATTTGTCCAGCAGTGTATATAGCACTTTAGGTCTATGGGTGAACAGAGATATGCATTATCCTTGCCTATCCTCAGAGCAAACCAGTAATGAAAGGACATAGAAGGGTTTCCCTTTTCCCTTGGCCTTTCTCGTGGGCATTTCGTGCTCTAACTAAATATAAATACAGCAGAGCAGAGCGTCTTGCAGAACTGGTGCTTCTGAATATGAGTTACATGAATGCAGTAAGCAGAGTGCTGCTTGGGTGATGAGAAATACATGGGATGCCAGATGGAAAGGCAGATTTCAGAACTGTGACAAGTGCAGGGGCAAGAGTGAGCAAAGCCCCTTCAGAGAGAGAGATGCTGATATTTCTCAGACAGCCAAAGCCATCCTGCCAAGTATCTGCATATTGAACCCATGCAGTTTATGAAAAAGCTCCTCTGGAGACACTACTGAGGCCTTGAGCTCAGTTGTGTTTTCCTGTTAGTGTCCTCCTGTCTGATTAATGCCTTGAGATGGTTGAGGGAGGAAGGGATGGAGAAGGCAAACTGAAAAGCCTATTCCTTTTCGCCAGCATTATGATATTGTGTGAGTTGGTAGGAGCAGCAGTCAGGGTGCAGGAAGCTCCTTTTTTAGATGCATAGTAACATCTTTTTAAAAGGACTTGCTCTTGAGAGAAGAAAATTGTTCAGTGTTATCTCACAGAAACGGGGGGAATTACTCACCCCTGAGCATGATGACCTGAACCCTTACCAGACTTCAGCTCCACCTCCTGCCCTGCTCCCGGCTCTTTTCCCGGAAGTTTCCCTCCATGCATAGTGCTGTGCCTTTGAAAATCTCATGCGTGTCAGCTGCTGCATCTTGTGACTGTCCCACGGAAGATGTGCTGTGTGGTATGGTGGCTTGGGGCAGAGAGGAGGAGTTTCTGCTGCAACATTGCTGAGTAGGTCCTTGCCCTCTGCATGGTGGGACATGAGACTGTGACAGTAAAAATGATTGCAATAACATTGTGGACATTGTTTTGGAAAGCTGCCATTCAGGACATATTCCCAGCCTCTTTCAGCATCTTTTCTGATCTTTGTCTGGGATCCACGGCTGATGTCTATGGCTGTTTTACTCAGTATTAGCTTTAGCAGTGGCAGGAGGTGAGGTTGCATCTTTACCCTGTGTCCATACTTCCCTTCTGTCCATCCTTACCGTTCTATTCTTCTGAGATGTTCTCACTCCCAGAAGAAGGGAAGCATAGGAAGGAGGAGAGAAGCGCCTCTTACACCCCACAGCTTGAAGCCAGGTGCATCAATGGAGCTGCAGTTCAGCACAATGTGAGTCACACTGTCCTTTCTGTGCAGGAGAATGAGGTGGCATGGGAGATGTGTTATCCCTTGAGGACCCTTGAGTGGTCCATGCCAGACAGGGGTTGTGCAGAAGACAGCAGTCATTCATGTGCCAAACCCAATATCTTTTCACAGTTATGTCTAGCCAGATAATCCAGTCTCTGAAAATCATAACCATTGCGACTCTCCAGGCTGGACATCCAGAAAATGAGACTTGTCTGGTTGCCTTGGTCACTGGGAGGTCTCTGGCTTTTTTCAGTCTGGCCAGAGGACATGAGAAATTGGGAAAGATCCCTTCAGGGGCATTAGCTGGATGCCCCTTTCTGTAAATTGCTGAGCAGAGGCAAATGCTTTGTTTTATGTGTTTAATTCTGGCAGGATCTCCCCTCCTCCCCAACAGCCTGTCTGCAGACAGCTGCAGCTGGGAAAGCTTTGTGTGAGAGCCAGGCAGGAGTGACTCAGGGCAGCCACTCCTAGACCCTGTAACAGGCTGGACTTGAGGTCGTCCTTTGCAGGGTAACCATGGAGCTGAAGGCTCAGGGGACATCACTTCCAATGCAGATATTTAAATAGACTCCTTAAATTTGGTCCTTAGAGGGCAGACCCTGTCACTTTGGGGTTTTATTGGACTTCTGAGACTTAGTTGCGCTGTGGTGTCTGATGTCTGTGGCAGGTGGGCAGAGGAAACCTCTTCACTTAACCACATTTACTAGTTCAGTGAGCCAAATTGTCTTTTACATAATCTGTGTTTGACTTTTTTCTCATTGCTGATTTTTTTTCTTAAAGAAAAAAAGCCCCTAAAAGCACATCTGCATTATTGCAAACCCCAGTTTTTACAGAGCTGCGTAGCACTGCACTGTCAGTACGAGCTTGACATTAAAGAAAAAAACCAAACCAGATTAACAAAAAGGGTCTTAATTTGGCTACAAGAAAAAAACCCCAAACTTCTTTGAACTAGTTATTGCTGACTATAATGAAGCTTACTGGTCTCATGTAAAATACATTGAATTTTGAAATTCCCTTTCTGTACCAACATGCTGTTGCTCATGTAGGCAAAGATCTGTGGTAACACTGCATGTAAAGGAAGCTTTCATCTTTAGGGGTGGTAGAAGTGTCAGCTCTGGATTTCAGTCAATGCAATTCTTTTGTCAAGTTTTCCTTTACTAATGCAGGGAGCAGTCAGCCCTCAACACACCAAGCAGAAATCATTTTGTGCCATGCCAAGCCAAGGTTGTCTTGTGTGTGGTTTCCACCATTTTTCTGGCTGGAAGACCTCTCTGTCTTTGGGACTATTAAGCTGTGAAAGGAGTCAGCAAAAGAAGTTGCCCTTTTGTTCAGCACTTTCAAAGGTGTAAACCTTCCGTGGAGTACTGCCTGCCTTCTGATCCTCCTTCCTCGTCCACCACCAAGGTGTCAAATCCAGCAGTGTCATTACACCATGAGCTTCCCATTAAAGAGCTTACCAAACTGATGACTGATGGTGTCTTCTCTCTGTGAGCGAAATCAACTCAGTTGTGAATCTGAGGGGGCTAAAACACAGCTACAATGCAAGTGAAACAGGCTTGACTTTCATGGGCATTGCTAGTGCATGGTAGGATAACACAGTGTTTATAGGTGTAAGGAGGAGAAAATTATGTCATC